TTTTCTAATTCTGTTCTGTACTAGTTTGCATCACACATACAGTTTGGCTAATGGCTAGTGGTAGTGGGGCTTCTAATCTGGACGGTTTGGCCAAACCAAGCGCAACAACCGAAGRAAGTACCACATCGGAATCACTTTTGAAAAGAAATTCGGGTGATGCAGGATGGAATTATGGTACCTTGTGTGATCCTACAAATAGAGATGTGGTCAAGTGCAATTTATGTGGGTTCATATGTAGAGAGGGAATCACTAGAATAAAGTACCACGTCATAGGAATAAGAGGAAAGGGTGTAGCCCTATGTAAGAAAGCTAGCAAAGAAGATAAAGGGGTGTGTGTGTGTGGTGTTACTTGAGAACCAAAAGAGAAGAATAAAGAGAATAAAATTCGGGAAGGAAAAATGAGGGCAGAAGTTGAAATAGAAAATGAYGAATATGAGGTGACCATGGGTTAAAAAAGAAAGAAGGCATCATCTTTAGGGCCCATGGTAAGTTTGCTGATCCTATTAATCCCGATGCTCCAACTATGCGTCAACAAAATATTCTAGACTCAATTTGTAAAGAAAGAACACATCAAGTGCATCAATWTTGTGCATGGTGGGTTTATGAATAAGGTATTCCTTTTCATGCGATCGACAATGATGGATTTAAGAAGTTTGTTGAAGCAGTTGGACTACAACGGTCCAGGTTACCGTCCTCCAACCCAATATCAACTTAGGAAACAATTATTGAAGGAAGAAGTTGAGAGGACTAATGGACTTCTCAACAATCAAAAAGAGTGGGTACAAAATGGTTGTTCCATTATGACGCATGGTTAGACGGATCAAAAACAAAGAAGCATAATGAATTTTTGTGTAAACTTGAGAGTCGGTATAACTTTCCTTTCTTCGGTTGAATGTTCCAAAGACGCACATACAGTTAGGTGCATCTTTGAGTATGTTGACAAATGTATTGAAAAAGTTGGGCCAACAAATGTCATACAAGTTGTTACAGACAATGCTTCTGATAATATGGCGGCCGCACAATTGTTGATAGAGAAGAGGCCGAACATGTTTGGACTTCTTGTGCCGCATATACCATYGACCTTATGCTTGAAGCAATTGGTAAAGAGGCTAAATTTAAAGGTTTGATTGCTAAGGCAAAGACTTCAACTATTTACATTTATGCACATCATAGGATGTTAGCAATGATGAGAAGGTTTACAACATCTAGTGACATTGTGACGCCGAGAATTACTAGATTTGCTACCTCGTTTCTAACTTTACAAAGTTTGATGGAGAAAAAAGAAAAGCTAAGGCTTATGCTTACTAGTGATGATTGGACACAATCCAAATGGGCCAAAACTAACAAAGRAAAAGGAGCATATGCGATTGTGATGAGTGTATCATTTTGGAATGGAATTAGCTTATGCTTGAAGGTGATTTCTCCTTTAGTTAAAATCCTCTGGCTTGTCAATGGAGATCGAGARCCATCAATGTGTTTCTTGTATAGAGAGCTTGTGCAAGCAAAGGTAGATATCAAAATGGCTTATAACAATGTGGAGATTAACTACCGTCCTATTTTAGACACCAYGGAAACAAAAGCAAAAGGTCGACTTGATGGTCCGTTACATATGGCGGGMGACCTATTGAATCCTTATTACTTCTTCAAAGATCCAACCATAAAAGATAGTCTTATGATCTCGGATGAGGTTTACAC